CAAAAACTTATCATCAACAGTAGCCCTGCTAGGAAAATGGTGGAACAAGAAATCCAGCAGCTTGCAGAATATATGCTTTCATACAAGAATCATCTGAAAGAACTATTTGAAAAACATAACCCAAACCAAGCTTTGGATCATCCAGTGCAAACTGTCAGTGTTCACTCTACACTCGAGCACAGAACTCGGCAATACTTTTCAGTACCTACTGACAGAAAATATTCCTTCACTGACAAAGCTATGGCTTGTGCAGATATCTTGACCTCAGTATTCATTGGTGGCAAAAGTGCATGCAAATGGTTTTGGAGATAGAAAAGGTCAAACTGTTTGCTGTGGTCCACTTTAACAAGTGATTGAGGGCAGTTTGAAGCTGCTACTCAATAAATCTCATGTTCGATGACTGACAAGAAATGTGGAAGTCGTCGACATAAAGGCTATTTGGAACTGTAGGAGAAAGTTGTTTAGCAATAGCATTGATCTTGATACTGAAAAGAGTGACACTCAAGACACAGCACTGAGGGACTACAGATCTTGTGTGAAAGAACGGGAAAGGGTCGAACCCACATGGACTTGGAATCACCTATCATTCCATGTAGTGTTGTAAGCCTTCTCAAGATCAAATGAAATAGAGACAAGAGGTTTCAAGCTGAATCAGATGGTCCACTGTGGAGCATTGCTGATGGAACCCACATTGGGTGGGTGAGAGGAGATTGTTTGATTAAAGGGACCAAAAAATAGCCTTGCACCAAGCATCAGGAAAAACATTCTCCTGCCAGATCCAGTTAAAGACAACCAGAGGAAGAACAAGAGAGGCAGGAGAGAGATGGCACAGCATTTCATCATCAAGTCTTACAGATGATGAGCAAGCTTGAGTTCCACCAGTGTAAGGGGGCAATTATAGTTATAGAGCCGATTGGCCTGAAAGGAAAGAGGCAATCGCTCTTCTCAAGATTTGATGGCCAAAAAGGCGGGGGAAGAAACAGAAACGCTAGAAAGATGAGAAAAGCTATTGTCGAGTGTGTAAGTGATGCTCTGTACATCAGCAACTTTCAGGCCATTGGAAAGCAAGATAGGGCATGGGAAGCATACATCCCAATATAAGCACCACCCCAAAGGAGATTGTGTCCATTAAAGTCTCCCATGATGAAAAAGGAAGATGGCATCTGTTTGATAAGATCATCAAGGTCTAATTGATTGTAAGTCTCTCCGGGAGACAGGTAGAGTGATGGTACAACCCAAGGGTGTATCAAGTGGCATAGACAATGTGGGTATAAGCTGGTCAACCAGCAGTGCCACCCCTCCATGAACTTGTCCATCACACAACTTGTCGTTCTGGTATAAGGAAAACTGCTGAAAGGTGACAGTATCGGCAGGTTTCAGGAATTCTTCCTGTACGGAGAGACATATGGGATGATAGAAATTGATCAAGGCCTTAATGTCATCCAAATCAGAATGAAATCCTTAACAGTTCCATAGTATCAAAGTGGCCATTTATATTTAGGTGGAGAAGAACTGGGCGGAGAACCCTTATGTTTATGACCATGCTGTTTTTCTTTATTAGGAGGTCTGTTGGCCACCATGGATCCTGCCCTGGGTCGAGTGGGCAGACCTCTGTCAGGAGAAGTAGATTCCAGTGACTGAGGGCATGAATGAATAATCGTTCTGCATCTCAAAGCCAAAGAAGATGGACCTAAGCAGACAATGGAAGCCGGGGCTGAAGGAGATGGACCCAAGCAGTCAGTGGAGGCAATGGTGGGAAACGACACAGGAGTAGATGCTGACTTGTCAACTCTTTTATCCACAGAAGGCAAAAGACTCTTCAAATGGTGTAAGACAGACTTTGAAGGTGGAATGGATAGGTCCATCTGCACTCCCACTGTAGCAGAGGAGTGGAGTGGCATATGTTCGAGATGGAGTAGGGGACAATAACTTCCGAGCCTCGAGGTAAGAAACATTGTTAACAGTTTTTAAATGCTGTACCTCTTTCTCCTCCATCATTTAGGACAAGAATGATAGTAAGAGGGGTAGGAACCATCACAATTAACACAGTAATGGTCCAGTTCACACTCGTAGGCATCATGGTCTTTGCCACGACAACAAGCACAAGCCTCAGAACCACCACAAGATGCCTTTGAATGCCTGAACCACTGACACTGGAAACATTTGAGAAGGTTAGGAATATATGGCTGTACCTTACAGTTAAGATAAACTGCCTTAACAGTGAGAGGTGGACATTGCAATGTAAATGTCAAAATTAGAACATTGGTAGGCAGTATAATTCCTTGTTTATGAGTGGAGATATGTCGCACTGCAGAAACTCCTTGGCTGAAGAAACCAGCAAGGATCTCTGACTCGGGGATGTTATTGAAATCCTTCTGAACAATAACTCCTTGTGAGGAATTCAAAGTAGCATGGAGAGTAACCTCAATGGGTGTAAACCCAATAGCCTTTGAATTCAGGAGGAGATTGCTGTGTTTTGGTGTGGATGTTTCCACCAAGATGTCTCCAGAATGTAGCTTCTTAATTGATTTTGGAGAGACAGCAAACCCCTCTAGTCCCTTCTGAATAAAAAAGGGAGAAATTTGCCCAAAGGTTCGTCAGAAATGGAATGCAAGATAAAAAACATAGTAGAGGTTCAGAATGGGTTGAAGAATGCTAGCCAGTCTTCAAGACATGGTCATTTAACAATTAGATGTTTTTTTTACTATTTTATTTTTTTGTTGAGGATTTCGGGATCCACCCACCATGGGGTTCTACCAGGGGACGCACTACAATGCCAAACAAGGACACTGCAGCAACAGCAGGACTTCGTGAACACTAGAACCAAACACCAGCATCAGTTACAATGTCCACAACACCCGTTGAGAATGCCCAACACTGGTATTCAGTTGACCCTAGCCAAACAGGACCAATTGACCTTGGGGCCACCCATCTACAGGAATTCAAGGCCAAAGTGGCGTGCTACAGTGCCCCAGACACCACTCAACCACCAGGATCCTCTCCTCCGCTTCACAAGTTGCCACACACAGCAAACATGTGGGTGGATGTTCAAATCCCATGATGGGTAAAACTTTAGAGTCTGAAAAAAGATACCTAGTGGAATAAAGCTTAAGTTCAAATAACTGTCAGACAGCCAATATGGATTTTACAATAGGATAATCCTACCTAAATAGCCTATCAACTACATTCATAGATATGTATATATATGTATATATATATATATATATAGAGAGAGAGAGAGAGAGAGAAGAATGTTTGAAAGTTTATTTTAACTCATAAAAAACATGTCAGAAAACCTGAATTATTACAACCCTTTAGATATGTTTTGCTCATGCTGAGCAGTAAGGTTAGATAGTCAGTAAAAATGTCATTTTTTTAACTGACTAGTTAAAACTGATGAAGGCCATGAACCCAAAACAGGGCTAAATAGTTTTAATAAACATAGTTTTTGATCTAATAAGTGATTTTTATTAGGTTCAATAACCTTTAGAATACTTTTCGACATTCTGAGGTAATTTCTGCAGTCTAAGAAGACCATGGTTTTGTTGTAAATGTTACTAAAGAGGCCTAATCTAGAATACTTATGCAGTTTTTCTCTAATTGTATTAGAACAAGGAGTTGTTGGAAAGTGTTCACTGGAGGGTTACTAGGATATGACTCCAGGAATAAATGGGTTGTCTCATATGATGAGTGGTTGAGTTCTCCTGTTTCGTCTTGAAAACAGAAGGGTTAAGACTAATATAATTAGAGTATTCATAATTATTAAAGGAATTGATTGTATCAGTTTTTTTTTTGTAGTCAGAGGGCAGTAAAACAAGATGTTAAGAAATTAAGACTTGGAAAGGTCAGATACATGTCCGGTGGAGGCACTTTTATTTCTCCAATAGGATGGTACACTTGTGGAACAAACTGCCATCTAGAATGGTAGAGAATGAACTGTTTAGAAATTTAAGAAAGAGGTTAATGAATATTTGGGGGATCTGGGAAGAATTAAGTGATTAGTTTTCTATTTGATGAGGGAAGTTAGGAATAGGGGCATCTATGATGGGCCAAGAGAACCCTTGATTCACATCATGTGAATATATTCAGTGGATCCTCATTATAACACAATTGTTAGGGTCCATGAAATACAATCCTGTTAAAAGTGGGGTGGCGTTATTTTGGGTTACCCACAAATAGTCATTTTCCAAATCCCTTGCATTGTTATTCGGTACATGAGATGTTCTCTTATTCATTTGAGAGCTTCAGATACCTATATTATTGCCTGATTCTTATTATACATACCTTATCCTATAACTTCTTTTTATCTTATATCCCACCCATTTTAAGAACAAAAAAAAACATAAGTTATGATATGTCAAAATTCCCAAATGATTATGTTTATTAATTACACTGCTGACATGGTTAAATGCACAACATTTATGGTTTTACTCGAAACCTTCATCCTTGTAGAAATCACTTTTAGTGGTTAGTGTGCAACCTGGCAGCATCTTATAGTACAACTCCAACATCATAGTTGTCGATTTGTTTGACAGTGTATCCACCTTCCTCCAATAGCAATTTCAACTCACTTGGGTAGGAATTGGCAGATGTATTATCTCCATAGCAAATTTCTCTGGATACAAGATATTAATTAAATCGTAAAAGCCAAAGGCTTTTCTATTTAGTTCTTATATACTGGACTGCCCTCTAGGAAGCAGCATGCTTTGGTCATGTGACTATAAAGGTTCCTCAGAAGAACAAAAGTGACAAGGACAATTCTTTTAAAGTAAAAACAACAAAATCATTGAAATACACTACAAATTCTTAATTGAAAACTGTCAAAACTCACAAATTTAGCCATAGAAAATTGGGAACCAAACATTGATCTCGTTATATCCACATTCATTTAAATGGGGTTCTATTGTATATACATATATATGCATCTACATTACAGAATTAAAAACGATGTATATATGTATCTATGCATGTTACGATCTTCTTTATCATACTAAACCTACTTCAGTGGCTTTCAGAAGCTTCTTTGTTTTGCAGTGACAACATTCTTCCTTGACAACAGGTTCTTCTGCTTTTACTTTTGAAATAAAACATACAGCTGGAACAGCTGAAAATGCTGGCAAAGGATGAACTACCTTCCACAGTAAATGCTGCAAAAACATTTATATAAATACATAATAAGTAGATAAGAACCTTTAAAAATACTTTTTCATGGAAACGATACAGGAATAAGATAGAGTACTAATAATCTTAAGTCTATGTTGCAAAAATAAAAAAAAAACATATTCATATTTGTTAACAATACATATATTTTGGCCAATGCTCTCATTCACATTGTACCACTATACAACTGAGGTTCAACGATTGCTTGAAATATAAGTGTTTACCTCTATGTACAGAGAGCATATCCATCTCATCAACTCTTAAATCATGTACTTCATATCATTTCCTAGATACCTTCTGTGATGTCAATATTCACAATAAGAGTTCTTCCATTTATGAGATTACCCCTCTAAGAAGAAGTTATTTTAGATGTGTTTTATACTTATTCAGAACAACATTAGTGACATTGACCAAGGAAAGATGTCTTCCCAAAAGTGCATCATATAGACAATGTTGAGAAATATAATGATTATGAGTACCACTCTTTGGAAGGAATGCTGATATTTAAAACTTATATGTGTTATAAACTATCTCAACTTATGCCAAACTTAAGAAGCAACCAAACCAAGGCACCAAAACAACATCCACAAGGAAAACAAAGGATTTTAAAACAAGCTGCAAGGAGCTCACAGATGACCACAGCTTAAACCACTGAATACAATCAATCAAATAGTGCAATATATTTTTCATAATAAACCTACAAATGACATTATTTCTAGTAAATTTTGTGAGAAATATATATTTGATATGCAAGCAGCATTAAATACAGCCACAGATGTTGCAAAAATATGATAGGTACCTACCATCCAAGGCACTACTCAATCCCATGTGTGGGATTCAAAAGTTTCATGGGAAATCTTATTTGGCTGATGATAAGGAAGCTACAAGTCAAAAACAAAAACACTTTAGGAAGACTACTAAACAATCATGGGCAGCAGCCAAATTCCATAGGTAGATTATAAAACAATCTTATGTAGATAAAAGGAAATAAATGTGTTAGTATCATCCATATGTCTGTAGACATAACATATTCCAAATGAAAGCTACCTACAAGGAAACATTCAGTATGAAAGAAAGGACACCTCTGAACATAGGAGGACTAAGAGATGAATAGTTTGATGCACAATTAATATGATGTTTTTTTTAAGAGAATTAAATTTTAAGAAGGCTATGAAGCTATGTGGAACTAGGAAACATAACAGCATTGTGGCAAACACATACATAGTAGCAAATGAAAGAGATAGTTCAGATACAAACCAAAACATTGAATGTAATGCAAAAATGTTTAATACTATTGGAAAAATTATGTTAAGGCTACACATAAGAAATGAGCCTTTGAAAAATTGCATACAAATACTGTCAAAGAACAAATGAGTTCGAGGATTGTATAATCACTCTGATAATGTTCTGAGCCTGTGTAAAAGACACATAAGATCTTACTAAATTTAACAGATTTTTAGCTGATACATGTGGTACGTGAAAATAAAATGGTTGCTAGTATGATTCTTTGGTTAAAGACCATATTACGAAAACAAACTTGAACTTTTAAAATATAATAGAACTAACACATACAAGGCCTGGGTTAATAAATTACAATAACAATTAATAAGCAATATGTTTGATTCCTGGAAAATAAAGTTGGAAATGATAACTCAATTGTTAGAATTACAAGTTTTTGTAATTAATTTGTTGAATTTAACCTAAAATTGGTAGTTGTTGTACCTGATGATGCTAGGTTATCTAGGAGAAACATTGTAACCATAGATATTATAGCCTATATATCCAACAATAACCAAATTTTACGTTTTACATAACAGGGTAATTCCTTTAATTATTTACTTAGCTGGATTATTCTTACACATATCTGTTCTTTAATTAAATAATTAATTTTTGAAATGTTTTATTTGAGCAGTAGTCTGTATTGTTAATTTAAGTTATTTCAATTTCTAATTGAAGAATATTTTATGAGTGATCTGTTATGAAGTAGTACAATATGGATAACATAGAAGCTAGCAAGGAATTGTCAAATGTTACATTTTCCTCTAATGCATTTGAATCATTTTGCACTCAACTTCAAACAGGAAATTTTCATATACAGTACTGAAATTGGGTATCCAAATTTATTATACTGATTTCATTCAGTTAAGAATAGATTCACAGTTAAAACTTTGGCAATATGACAGCATATTAACATTTTCTCTCTGTGATCAGTATCATGTTTTCAGTGGATCGACAACAGACAAAGTGACACTTTTTTTTCTTCATGAAATTAAATAAATACATAAAATCATAAGTGTATTTCATTTAAACAACCGGGTTCTGATGTAAATACTTCACTGTGTACAGATAGTAATAAAAATATTGTATTATTTATTACAATTTTGAATATCAAAATATTTCTCCATTCCTTACTACATACATCATGGCCTAATTATCCTGAAACTAGCTTAATAATTCTAAAATTCATCAAGTGACACTATACCTGCAATCAACATTACAAATAAAGATGCACACAGCATGTTTAACTTTTTAACTTATGAATAAAAGTATTGAACAAATAATAACAACATAGCTTAATTAAGTACACTTAGTCTTGTCTAAATAGATTATATGACCACCACTCAGTCTATTGAATCATTTGAAACTAACCAGATCCAACAATTATACTGACTTTGTGCAATAATGTATAGCATGCTCTCTAATGGTAAGCAATTATGTATATAATGATAATATTTCTTACACCTTTAAAATTAAATAGAGAATGTCTATTTGGCATTCCTTTCTATATTATTTAATATGTCATACAATTTTATTTCCTTTGATACAGTTATAACAAGTTTCACATTCCATTCAAGTGTACTATATGGCTTGTACCACATAAATAATATATTGTCCAAGTCTAGTGACATGGTCACCATCTGCCAATGATGTGGACAGATCAATTTTCACTTTCAGCACAGTTATAATGAAGACAGATCAATTTCAATCATGGCACAGTCACTGTGAGAACGGGCCAATCATTTAATATCAGGATGAAATAAATATGGCAGTAAAATTATTTTTAGTCCATGCATGAAAAATTGGCAAACAGTAAGGTGAATCAAGCCAGTGTACAAGAGGAATAGCATTTATACCCTACCTCTCTTACATTTACACTGATCATCTACACTGACAGTGAATATGATTATATTTTGAATTTTTACATAACTATTATGCAAAATTACAAATGAATGAAATATTATTTTAGTCATTTCTATCAATTTCAGCTTGAATGTAAGCAGACAATTATTAGTGTATTATGTGATTTATAGTTATTTTATAAGATGAATTGAAACAGGCAGAAAAAAAAAGACATACAGTCCATATATAAATTATTCCAGTCCAAAACAGTATATTATTACATTTATCCACTCAGTTTGCATACTGAATGGAAAGTATTAGCTTTCCAGAAATCATAAGGCAATTACAAAATTATAACACAAGTAGAATATATTTTTGACACTACTTCATTCATAGAATTTGTAAATGTTAAAATATCAAATTCTCATTAATGAAAGAAAACTATCTTGTTAATTATTAACTTTCCACCTGAAAAAACACTGATCTCTATTTTTTTTAATAAACAATTGTTAAAACAAGCTGAATAAAAATTAATTATGGGAGAATTATAAGATCAATTTCAAAATGTGGGATAAGACCATATTTTAATAATTTGGATTATGCATCCGTTGTATGATTTATTGAAAAAAAAATCTAACTTTGATCACCTGAATATATAGTTTGAGACTTTTTTTTGTAGTACCTATTACAAGCTATACCTAAAAGAAGAACCTTAAAACCTATTAAATGATTTTTCATTCTACAAATGTTATATTTCTCACCACATCCAGAAAAGTAAAATATCTCATACTTCAATTAATGTTTTAATACAAGCTGAGCAGACATGAAAAATAAATTTTCAACTTTTTTGTGATGGGCATTACTATCATGATAAAACTGATCTCTATTAGTTATTGTTATAAAAGTTTTATAACTTTAAATGCCATTCATCTAATCCTAAATTTATCAATTCAAAGATGTGGGATATGAAATAAGAATTCTTATAAACTAACATATAATTTAACATAATACATGGACAACAAAGGAACATTTGGTCCTTAAAGGCAGTCCCTGCACACCTATCCTTGAAAAAAGGTAAAAACTTAACCCATTCTTTAGTTTTTCAGGAAGTTATCAATTTCCCTATAAAAACTTGCAATGTGCTAGCTTCCGCTATTGCCAATGGCAACTCATTCCATAAGCCAATTACCCTATTAGGAAAATAAAACTATCTTTTACTCCATTCAAAGTTAGTCTGTCTTTTCCAAATCTTAAGCTTGGGTTCTATTATTTTCAGAATCTAGCACAATTAAGTCAATATCCTTCTTTGATAAGGTGACCAACACTGTATGCAGTATTCCACCTGAGGCCTAACTAGCTATTTGTATAAGTGACTACAGGTATCCATTTTGATTTGTAATCAATGTCTATAAACATACATAAAATTCTATTAACTTTGGTATTAACAACAGAGCACTGCCTTGATGGCTTTATTGACTTGCCCACCACTATGCCAAAATATTTTACTTCAGCCATGCTACTGAGTGGGTTCCCGTTTGTAATATCATTTAACAAGTGATCCAATTTATGATAACCTAAAGGATTTATAGGAAACAGCCAAACAACAATGTTGAAAATAACAGCAAGGATGGTTTTTTAAGCATGTGAAAGGTAAATAACATGATAAAATAAGGATTGGACTATTAAAGGATGCAAACTACAAAGTTTTTGTTGAAGACTATGAGATGGTTGAACTTCTAAATGATATATTTTATTTTCCAAAAGAGAGGTTGTTGGCTATATTCCTGACCTAGAGGATTCTTTAAGAAATAATGGGAATGACTTGATACTGTGTAGATATTAATCCATTGATGGTAAAACAGGACCAGACTATCTTTTTTCTCTCCAGAGTTTTAAATGGCATTAAAGATCAAATAGTAAAAGCCTGTCCTTTTCATTTTTGGTAAGCCAAAGAGAGTAAGCAAGTGCCTGAGGGCTGAAGAACTGCTGATGTTACTCCTATTTTTAAAGAGGTGAAAAGATATGCCCTAGAAATTATAGGAAAAAATCCTAGTCTGATAAAAGAAGCTTTGCAAAATCATTTAGTGAAATGTATGAGAAGTGAAAGTAACAGATTTATGAAAAGAAAATCTGCCTTTACAAGTCTGTTAAATTTTTTAAGAATTTTACCTGTTATAACAAAATTTAAAGACAAGTCCTGTAGCTTCTTCAGGCTATCCCATACACTAAACTTAAAAACAAAACAAAAAAACTTAAAGCCAGCTCTTATCATTTGAATATTTAGTAAACATTCCCTTAAATGTACTGCATCCACCACATCTGAAAGCAGTCCATTTTAAGTCAACCAACCTATTAGAAAATAAAATTCTCTATGTTGAAGATGATTCTTACCCTACCAAAATTTATATTTATGCTCCCTTGTCCTGCTATTCACACCATTAAGTACAAAAAAGAAAAGAAAAAGGGGATGTGTCAAAATTATCAATTCCTTTAACAATATTAAACATCTCAATCAGATTTCTTTTATATCTCCTTTTTTCTAGAAAATTTCAGAGATTTTAACCTGTCTTCATATTATTATATTTTCATCCCAGGTATTATCCTAGTAGCCCACCTATAAATCCTTTCCAACAACTCAATATCCTTCTTTAGGCAAGGAGCCTAAGACTGAAATGTCGGTACAAAGGTTGTTCAACTTGTGGCATGATGGTGGGTAAAACAAAATACATGGCTTTGCTAACTATTGAATGAATATTGGCTAAATTATTATCAATGCTATAAATGAAGCTACCAGTTTGGCTGCCAATTTTGAATTCATTCCTTGAAGTCGCATGCTCAATCCTTTTTCCACACCTAAGGTGTTCTTGATTAGATATCGTGACTTTTTTTATTACACACCAACAAACCAAAGCACGTAAGAAAGTAACACTTGACAATAACTAACATTAGCTTTAGGATCACAACCCTATTATTAAGAACAGACCTATACTTTACAGAACCAACCAGATTCTTTAAAACATATGGTGGTAATTTTTCCTCTCTAAAACAGTGTTAACTTTCTTTATAGTAATGCCATAGAATATAAATTAACTGTTTCTTGTCATCATCTGTATGCACTCGGTACAGCCGTATCAAGCATCATTATTTATGTTAATTGTTTAAGCTAATATCACGTGACACTAAATACTATTTAATTAAGAGAATTGCACAAAATTTAGCAAACTTGTGCTTAAAAGTTGGCAATGGATAATGAATAATAACCATCCATCCATGCGATTCTTTTGAAAACTTGAACTAGAAACTGCTAATCTAGATTGCTTGGTCTAACCAATACTTAAAAAGAACCAAAAATAAAAAAAAGGAAAAACGTATACTTTTGTTGCTCCAAAATCAGCTGTCTGTAATCTGAGTGTGAAAAACTAAAAATAGTCCACCTTTACTCTTAAGTGAAGCTGTAGTAAAAACTTCAGCCCAATAACTCAAGTAGCTTTTTATGTAGGTGTGTAAAATTTTTTGTCAAAATTGAGCAGTTTTTGTTGAATAACTTTGCATATGTGGCTTATATTTAGACCAAATTTGACACATAATTGTAGGTCGTAAAGATCTATCATTGTGCCAAACTTGAAAAAAAAATCCATGAAAGTTATGCATGTTTTTCTATCAAATAAAATTCTGGTACTTTTGGTGTGAAGAAAAAAAAAGAACTTAATCAAAATTGAAGATTTTATATCTCGTGTGTTTCTTAATGGATTGCCTTAAAATTTGGTATGTGAAGTAAGGGTTCGGTAGAGCACATCCACTAAGAAAATACAATAGTTTGGATTACCACAGTCCTAGCTACAGGAATTGGAATATTGTTAAACTATCACTCCTGTTAATAACACACAGTGTGTCCTGCAGGTTGTTTTGGCCACACAACACACTACCATGCATCTTGACATCAGGAAATATTTATAGGTTTTGTTTGAATTTCACACAAAGCTACACAAGGGCTATCTGTCCTTAATTTAGCAGCAACAGACAGGAGAGAAGGCAGCTAGTCAATATCACCCACCACCAACTCTTTGGCTACTCTTTTTACCAACATTATAATGCTCCCATGGCTGAGCATGTTTGGTGACAAGGATTTGAACTCACGATTCTCAGATAGCAAGTCAAGCACCCTAACCACCAGGCCATATTTATAGGCATCTTGACTAGATGCACTTCCACAGGGTCCCTGAAAGTGTTCTGTTTGAAGAGTAAATGAAACTAAAATTATTTCTTGCTTTTGAAATTCATATGTCATGCTGTGTTATAGCCTACAGAGTGCATAATTCTTCCTGTGATTTATGACATGTACACTTTTTACTGATGTCAATACAATACAAATTACGATGATAAGTGTCCCTTATACAATGTCATTTTAGTGTCTACTGATTGACTGACTGACAGACAACACATAACTCTATAGTGGTGAGAGTGGTTAAAACAAGTGACTTTTCCAAATGAATTGGCCACCTTTTGAAAAATTACATTTAAATGTGAAAACAAGTAATATCTATACACCATGCTAGTGCAGCCATATTTGGAACACCAGTATGGTTTTTGGTTTGGTCTACTTATTTAAGAAAAGATACTGACTTAGAAAGGGTTAAGAGAAGAGATATTGTTATTCATTCTTTTTAGTAACAGAGTAATAATACGAGTTCAAATACAAGTAAAATAATTTTGGGATAATAAAAATTTATCTTTCACTTTGACTTTTAGGGGTAGATTAACATTTTTTCTTGAGAAAAAAAAAAAGGGGGAAATAGATAATCTTATTGAAATTTGGAAGATTATTGGAGGGCCAATAGGATAAAGGCCTCTGATTTCTTTGGATTATATAATACATTAAGAAAATATTACGACTAAAGTCTAAAGTAAAGGACTTGAATTCAATATTTGCAAACAGGCTTCAATTAAGATTATATTATTATTTTTCTAAGATTAGCAATAACATGGTGACTGATTTATGGTTATAGTAACTTATAGTTATACCCATTATCAGCTATCTAGATCTTAGAAGCTTGTAATATTAAAATAGCTTTAACTTCGAAACGTATAACAACTTGAAAAAACATGTTATAACTTATAGTTATTATTACTGATACTAGTACTACTACAACTAATCTATAGTATTAGTACCATAACTGGCGTTAGCGTTATGAGAATTGGGATACAAGATTTAATGAGTTCCCGGCATTTAATTTAAATGAGTTTAAAAAGAGTAATCGATAATTCCTGAAAAGTAAAGTAAGTTGAACTTTTTATTGTTTTCAAGGGTGGAAGTGCAAGGGCCGCATAGAATAATCAAATGTATCCACGATATCCGTACGTTATATAAAGTATAACTTAAACTACCTTACCCGGAAAGATGCCATATTGAATGCAATTTTCACTAGATGTCACTAAAGAAAATATAACAGGAGCCACTAAAAAGGACAAAAATTTTAAATTCTTAAATATTACCGTTAAGAAAAACAAATAAAAACAACTAAAAATAATGTCTGAGAAGAAAGACATATCTTAAAAAAATGCGAGATAGTACCAGAAGATAATGTACTGTAATTAAACTTGCAAAACTATTTAACTGTAAATCAATATACAATTTTTATAGTTTTAAGGTACCATCCTGCCAAGAAAGAATTATTTGATTTTTCGAGATGGGTGTTCCCATACACCACCACCAAGAAAAAGAAAAGTTAACTCCTTTTCTTTTCTTAAAAATAAACGATTCTCCTTCGAAACTCTTGCAATGTGTCGCTACACCACAGCCGACGACAACTCATTCCATAAGCTAATTATTCTGTTGAAAAAATTAAAACTCTCCTGTTGCTTACGCTATCTTTTCTTAATCTTGAATATGTTTCTTTTCGTCATATTGCCTTTGTAATTCAGAACAAAGTAACCATTGGCTTCTATCCTACCGATCCCCATATATTTTAACATAACATAATACTTAGGAACAACAAGGGACCTATTGGTCCGACTAGGCTGTTCCAGCCACTAAACTAAACTAAAACTATTAAAGAAAACCCTCACAGCCGGCCCTTATCATTCACATATTTATCAAGCCTTCCTTTAACTCACTTAAATTTACTGCCTCCACCACATCCGAAGGCAATCCATTCCAAAGGTCAATCACACTGTTAGAAAAATAAAACAGGTTTAGTTGAAGATGACTCCGACCCTGCCAAAATTTATATTTGTGCCCCCAGTCCTACCATTCTCAACAATAAGTATGAAAAAAAGATTATGCATCAACACTATTAATTTCCTTAACAATCGGCCCGGCATGGCCAGGTGGATATGGCACTCGACTCGTAATCTGTGGGTCGCAGGTTCAAATCCACGTGACACCAAATATGCTTGCCCTTTCAGCTGTGGGGACGTTATAATGTTACGGTCAATCCCACTATTCGTTGGTAAATGAGTAGCCCAAGAGTTGGCGGTGGATGGTGATGACTAGCTGTCTTCTCTCTAGTCTTACACTGCTAAATTAGGGACGGCTGGCGCAGATAGCTCTCGTGTAGCTTTGCGCGAAATTCAACCTAACAAACATTCTTAATAATTAAAACACCTCAATCAGATCCTTTTCAACCATTCTTTTTTCAAGAGAAATAAATTTCAGGTATCTTAACCTCTTCTCGTATGACAACCTTTCCATCCTACGTATCATCATAGTAGCCCTCCTTAGAACCTTTTCAAACAATCCAGTGTCCTTTCTAAGGTAAGGAGCCTAAAACTGAACACAATACTCGAAATGTGGCCTGACTAGTCATCTGTACAACAAAATTATAACCTCTTTAAACTTGTATCCAATATTTCTGTTGATAAAACCTAAAATTATATTTGCCATACTACTAGCAGCAGGACACTACTTGGATGGCTTAAGAGACTGATCAACCACTACGTCAAGATCCTTTTCTTCCATAACACTGTTAAAGTTATTACCATTCCAATTATACTTATAATTAAAATGACAATAACCCAAATGCATTGTTTTCCATTTATTATGATTAAAACCCATCTGCAATTTACACAAATAACTCACTATATGATCTTACTCCTTTTGTAAAGCAGCATCCTCCTCCTCAAAGCCACCAGCACCCAAGAGCGTTAATATCATCAACAACTTTACGTAATGTATTGACCATTTCTTCATTTATATCATTGATGTAAATAAAAAAGAGCATAGGTTCTAAGACTGAGCTCTAATGTACCCCAATTGTGACATTAATACAGTTTGGCTGAACTCCATTTATAACAATCCTCGCAGCATTTTTCTATACAGCCACTATTGTATCCAATTAGCCAACTTATAAACACATTTACAGAGATAATTTTTTAAAAGCCATTTTTTATGTGGCACTTTGTCATATGCTTTCTGAAAATCCAGATACACCCAATCTACACAATTACCCTAATCTACATCAAAGAATGTCAAAATATTTGTAAGATAAGAATTTCCCCTAGTGAAACCATGTTGCCTATCCAATGCTATTCTAAACTTTGTTAAATGACTTTGCAAAACACTTTTATCAGACTTTCAAAAACTTTAACCACAGCTGATGTAAGATTAATAGGCCTATAATTACTGGGACAGTTTATATCACTTCTTTTGAAAAGAGGAGTAACATTATCTAACTTCCAATCATTTGGCACCTGCCCACTGTTCAAGGACTTAAAAAAAAATGTAGCAAGTGGCTCACTATCTAATCCTTAACCTCCTTCAAACCCTTGGGGAAATATTATATGGTCCAGAAGTATTATCATTCTTTAGACTTCTCATTTTTCGTAACAAGCCCAGAATTAATGTGATTATCTTGTTCGATCTTGATTCCATCTATCAACTGTTTAGGATGAGGAATATCGCTTAAATTTTCATTTGGAAAAACTCGAGAAAAAACTGAACTTAATATCCCAACCATCTCATAATCATCAGATACGAGACTTCCTTTGTCATCCCTTAAACGTTCTTCCCTCATCCTAACATTTTGTTTACCTTTAATGTTTTTAAAGAAATCCTTACTGTTAATTTTTACATTTTCAGCCAACCTTTTTTTTCATACATCCTTTTTCACGTCCTAATTTCCTGATTGACCAGCTTTCTTGATTATCTATAATCTTATAAATCTTCCAGTCAATTTATATTTCTTAAATTTGTGAAGCTTTACTTTAATTTTATCCCTTATATCCCCTGTCTGCCAAACTGTTTTTTTTTTACTTGCAGCCGCCCCTTTCTTGCTATAAGTAACATGCTCATGTTTAATATTGAAAAAAATATTTTAAAACACTTTTCACATTGTCTCCAAATAACTCAGCTGCCCAGTTTACAACAGATAATTCTTCAAAATTTACTCTTTTGGAACTTGGAACCAAAATATCATTATTCCGGATCTCTATATGCAGCAAAACATCAAAACCTAACAGAGCAATAATCACTAGCACCCAAATGTTCCCCAATTTCCACCCTTTCAAACATTTCCATATTAGAAGTTAACATTAAATCTAAAATAGTATTGTTCCTAATAAGTTCCCTGACCAATTGGTGAAAAAATCCATCTCGAACAGTTTCCAAAACTTACCTTTCTCCCTCAAGTTTTAACTCTAACATTTTCCAATCTATATGCCTGAAAATAAAATCACCCATAATCATGACCTCATTAACAGCTTAAATCTTAATTTCACTGTTATGTTTCTCATTAATTTCATCAGTATCATCTGGTACTCTGTATCAAATTTTCTCTAAAGCCGTTTCCCTTTATATTCACTAACAGAAACCCAAATGGATCCAATCCCCTTGCTGTTATCTTTGATAAACTCAACTTGAACAGGATGTAACTCACATTTTACATAAGATAACCTCTTACCTTTCTTTTCTTAAGATAAAATAATTAAAAAGGTATTAACTTAGCCATTTCCATACGATTATAGCTTTTTATCCCAAGACCATTTTAGTAACGTTTCGTATAGAGTATTCAGGTAAAACTGAGTTAACTTTCAAGTAATAAGATACATTTGCTTAATAGCAGGAGATTCAGTCAAGATACCGTTTACAGAGAAATGATGAGTCTGTGAATAACTGAGTCGTGATGTTCAATACAATAACGAGATTGGGCACAAAGTGAAATACCAAATGTATAATTATTATTAAAGCACTAAACAGAAACACGGTATGTGTATTTGCTTTATAGTATCATAGATCGTCACACTTATTAGATTAGTATCTTGTTGAGACTGATTAAATGCAAAATTCCTTGATTCTCAAGAAATTTACTCAGAATGACTAGCACTAGCCACGTGATTGGTCATTTTCTTTACAATACAGGTGAAGATGTAACTTTGATATGTCCCCGAACAACCAACGAACGATACTACTGTCGACATCCTTGCACAACATGTAATATTACTCTCAATTCCTCGGCAGACCAGGTACTATCTATTCGAAAATAACAAAGGAATAAAGGCAGCTAGAACAAAATCAACTTAACGCTTTCTCGACCACGTCTTCTGTGAAACCTGGACATATTCAAAATAAAGAATAATTTCAAAATAAACAACATAATACTACAAGAAGATAGACATTTATGGTATATTTATATACCACATTTTTCTTTCTCCTCTACTTCAGGCTTGTCTTGAGGCTAACAGTTAATTTAACTTTAAATCAAACAAACTTTATATTTGTACCCTGATTGAGAATGGCATTAATTTTATTTCTCCCCTGAAAACACTTACACGCTAAACATACGTCATAACTCTTAACAAAGAAAATACAATAGATAAAAAAAAATTTTAAAAAGGAAAGCCATACATTAAGTGGCCATTTAGCAAGGAAATGACACATTAATAAAAATAAGCCTTTAAACATAGATATAAGCACACACATACACTTACAGAATACCTTCAACATAAAAAACAACATAATGAAAGAATCCTTTAACAATGATTAACTACCCTTTTTAAGAGGTGTTAGTCAAACACATCAAGCAGATACATAAAATAAAACAAAATGAAACCCGTTAACATAGATAACTTCGTGCCAAATATTTCAACATTTAATTTTAAACATTTTCTCATAAGTTATTAATAAAAATAACGTATACACTGTATCTTCAAATGATAACTTACAGGTATATTATCACAATTAACTTCATATGACCAAATCTTAACATCCAAGTCAAAGCCTTTATTTCCATTCCTATGTGGCGTAATAGTTTTTTCATGGTGTAATTGATTCATTTGTGTAACACAATAGTCATGTATGACTTCATGTAATGTTTTGACATGCACGGGGGACCACACACGCATGTTTATATTTAGACACCTATATTATCATGTACATGCATCTCCATTACACATTGTCACATACACTAATAGCTTCCAACAGAATGCCTCTGGCTCCCACTCAAAATATTTCATAACTATGTCGGCTTACTTTCCAAAACT